ACATACAACTCCAGCATCAGTGTTGTCCCACGAGTCATCACACACTGTACCCCACCTTCCATTTTGACACAGTTCCACTCTTCCCTCGTTTGAGTTTGATCCACCAACAAGACGCAGAGAACCAGAAGTACAAACTAAAGTAATAAATACATCTCACAACACTACAAAGCTATTCTATAAACTAACCATCACAAGATACTCCAGCATCCTCATAGTGTCCACAGTTGTGAGTACTCAAGTGTGTGCAGTTTGTCAAAAACTCTTCTGTTCCTGTGCACTGAACATCATCCAGGAGGATACTACCAGTACCCTGACCAAAGTAGGCACTAGATCGAGCAGTTCCACCTGTCACAATATATCATTCATTGTCAAAAGGAATCAACTCACTTGTTCCCCAGTCTAGTTGTCTACACACTACTGCTGCATCAGGGGAGCCCCAGTAATCATCACAGACAGTACCCCATGATCCACTATCACACACTTCCACTCTTCCTTCCCAATCGTGTGAACCACCAACAAGACGGATTGATCCAGTAGTGCAATCTGTAAATAAATATTTTTAATCAATTTTAAGTCAACATTGTTGGATTAATGTACCACAAACAAATTAATATTGGCTACAAAATTGTAGTGACTGCTTTCAGTACTACAAACTGCAAAACTTTTAACTTCAAATCAAGTCATGAATGATGTTTGATGCTCTTTGATGTTTCAATGACTATATAATGAGGTATTAAAACTGTTTAAATTCCAGAGTCAAGAATGCGAATGCACATATGTTTGTTTTGACAAATTTTGATTAAAATTGCCACATTTCTGGTAACATAGTATAAGGAAATATCTGCAGGCTCTTCCTTCAAGAATACCACATTCCTCCTGCTCTTCCACTGTGGATAACCCACCAGAGTGACCTTTACTGGCACCATCCAGCGATCTCCAAAAAGTTTGGCCCCATCGTCATTCAAAGCTAACTTAGGGTGATATCAGCATAAGATTTGCTGATTGATGGTAGCTTCATTCAGTCACATCTCTTACACCAAGAAGTGTTCCAATCTGCCATTACTGCTCTACTGTATAGAGGGATCTATTGATGAAGGTTTTATTTTGACGAGTTGACAATTTAAAATAAAACGTCAAATTTTATAACTATCAAAAATTTTGTACTTTGTGCCTCCTATACGTGAAGGGAACTATTTGTCAAATTAAAACTGGCCAACCGGGGAAATTTACTGTTTTTGTCAAATTTTTTACTCATCAATAAATCCCGCTATACATTATTAAAAAATGCACAATCTGCTGTAATGCACCTGTGCACTATGACACAAAAAGTGGTGTCATCACTGTTCATAATGCAATACCATTCGTTATACATCAGTTTAACACTTCCTACTTGGGATTACAAAACATTAAACCCTCATGGTTTGCCATTGCGTGCAGGTTTAAAATTTTGTATTCACATCCTTGTCAAAAGTGGTCCTCCTCTTGAGGGACCATCCTCAAATTCATTAAAGATGGTCTGTAAAAGGAATGGGTGTGACCAGTAGGTGGAGTTAATGATAACAAAAATGATACAAATTAATATCGAATACAATATCTGCTTTATTCATACACCTAGTTCAGCTGAAACAGTACAACAAGACTTTTCTTCATTAACTTCCTTCAGTACTTTTACTCTCTCCTCCAGATTTAGAACTTTTCTGATATCGTCATGTAACATACACATGTTTGTTAGCCCCACCCACTAGTTGCTAATGTACTAATACTAAGTGGTAATTGGCTGTGTTTGAGGGGAGGTCACATACAAGGTGTCCAAATGAATGTGTACTACATCCATTCCTTAATAATGAAGTGGAGAGCGAGGGGAGGTTTTTTACTAGGGGAGTCTCCCAATAGAAGGACTATTGTACATGTACATATAATGAATACAATCAAAAATATTAAGATTGATTATAGGGATGTATGTACACATGTCTGTTTAGACAAATGATTTTCTATTTGTGATTTTGTGGGCTTAATTGCTTTCAGATTCAATCATTGCTACACAACAAAAAACCATGTATATGTATCAGAAAAGATAATAAAGATAGAGAAGTTTTTCTTACTCAATTTTGGCAAACATTTGACTGAATTCACCTAGTTTTTAAGTATTTTAATAATTCATAAAATTTCAATTTTGCATCAGAATTAAAGTTGCTGCAAACACAAGAGCAAGCATTTGAATCACGAAAAGTTTTTTAATGGAGAATTTTCTCTTTTTCATTATCCTGTGCTACAGAACAGGGACTTTGACCCACATAACTTTAAAGACTTGTAAAAATCTAATTTTTTTGGATGAACTTCAAAGTTCCATAAAGCACAAGATTAATGTAGTAATGTATATGTATTAAAAAAATTATAACACAAAAATTCCCTCCTACCAAGTTTTGAAAAAATACTCTGTTAGAATATATAAAAGTTAGATTTTTCTAGCAACTTAAAAGTTATTAGAAAAAACCTGCATGAGCAAAATGCCAAAATCCCATCACAACCCCTGTTTATACATCATAACTTACAAGCACATCTGACTCCTGCATCTTCAGAGTGAGCACAGTTGTGATTTGTGATGTGTGTACAGTTTGTAAGGTAAGATTCACTTCCATCACACTGGACATTGTCCATCACAATTGATCCATTTCCTTGTCCAAAGTAGGCACTACCAAATGCAGTTCCTAAGTTGAGACAATCACACTCCAATTAACCTATAAACCTTTCCTTACCTGAATCATATCCCAGCTGTCTACATACAACACCAGCATCAGTTGAATCCCAGAAGTCATCACACACTGTACCCCACCTTCCATTTTGACATAGTTCCACTCTTCCCTCATTCGAGCTTGATCCACCAACAAGGCGCAGAGAACCAGATGTACAAACTAAAGTAATAAATACATCTCACAACTCTACAAATTTATTCTACAAACTAACCGTCACAAG